GCTGCACCCTGAGCTGAATGAGCCCTGTGCCAGCCTGGGCTGAGCAGAGCTGTGTCCCACGGGCAACGGGCCATGAGCTGCACGGGCCCCATGCCACCCGGCCTGAGCGGCACACAATGCCAGGGCCCTGCACAATGCCAGGGCGTCCTGCACGACGCCCCGTCCCGCACACAACCCCCGGCCCAGCCGCACAGCAGCGGCGCCTCGGGGGACAAGCACCCCATCCTGGCCAGCTGAAAGGGTACGAGGGCCAGCATCGCCCTTTGGCCTCCACGTTGGGGTGCGTCAGACAGCACCTCCCGCTCGGCCCTCTCCTCTGCTCCACACGTCCCGTCAGCCACATGGCAAGAGGTTTTCCCTGGGGATGTGGAGAAGCGGCAGAGACCCGGCAAGGCCCCAGGCCCAAGGCACCCCTACTCACCACCTTCAGCTCCGGCACCGAGCGGCTCAGGGTCCATTCCTGGCTGTTCACGAAGGAATCTGCGGGAGGGAGAGAGCAGAGGTGAGAGCAGGGCACGGGGCCGCGCTCCGGCCTCCCTGCGCACCCGCCAGGCGCCTGTCCCGCTCCCTGCAGCCCGGAACGGCCGCCCGGGGGACGGAGCGGTCCCTGCCCGGGGGATGGAGCAGGATGGAGCAGCCCCTGCCCACGGGATGGAGCGGTCCCTGCCCGGGGTACCCACACCAGGACCCGCACCGGACGCACAGAGGGGAGCACTCCGAGCGCCGGCACCGCCGCACGCGGCCAGCACCAGGCTCCCGAGCGTCTCCTCGAGCGATGGCGAGCACAGTTAATTGTCTTTATGTTATGTAATGTGCAGAACTTTGTGAAGGTTGCAACAGCCAAGAACCTCTTTGAGCAGCCCTAGAAACACCCTCTCTCCTGCCAGGGGAATCACAAATACCTCATTTACATCCACACAATCCCTAGGAGCGGGTCTGAAACTGACTTCCCAAGAAAAACCAGACACACAGGAGGAGCAGCAAGAGCCCGGAGAACATCGTGAATATCAAAATGAGCCAGCAGCCGCTCCTAGCAAAACCCCAGCGCTCAGTTTGCCCGAAAGAGGAAGCGCATCCTACATCCCAGGCTGGAATGGCAGGCGGCTGGAGGTCAAAGCAGAAGAGCAGCATTTGCTCCTTCTTCACTGCACAAAAATAACACGTGTTTTTGGAAACCAGAAACCTAGGAGAGCATTGCTTCTTCAAGGGCATGTAAGGGAAGCGCCGAGTCCAGTGCCACGCACTACTGCAGAAACTGAAAACGCAGATGGTTTCAGGAAGGGAGCAGCAAATCCAGCGGGCTCAACCACTGGCTGGGGACAGGGCAGTCACACAGGGCAGTATCTCACTGTATCCACAGTTTCTTTCCTCTTGCACGACCAAAGCCTGGCCAAAGGCTTTCCCCGGGGCTGCCCGAATGCAGCCCAAGCAAAGCTCACCCGCTGACCGGGCTCAAAGGGGCGTCCTAGAGAGCACAGCCTCCTCTCCCGCTGCTCTCCGTGCCGGGAAGGTTCTGGACGGAGGGACCGTCGGGTTCCTTTGCTAACCGCTCCAACGCTCCTTGTTGTAACACAGCTCAGATGCCCGTTAGCAGCAGCCTGACGCTTAACTTGCTGCACCGGCGCCCGGCTAACGGCACCCGAGTAACGGCAGCCCGATGCCACTGCAAGTGCACCCATTCGTGCAATACATCGGACGTTATTAACGTTATCAACCTCTGCGGAACTCGGTGCCGACCCGCGTGAAGGCAGCGCCTGAGCTCGCAGCAGCAGCAGCCTGTGCAGCCTGTGCAGCCGGGAGCTCCTGCTTCCCTAGGGCCCAGTGCCCAGAGCGCAGGAGCGGGAGCTCAGGGACCAAGAGCAACAAACGCTAAGGGAGAAGCGGCTGTGAGGACGGGAATCCCAAACCTACTGGAAAATTACCAGAATTGGAGAGGGGTCTGTTCCATGGTGGTCCGCACCCAAAGCCACAGTCACAACGTCAGCATCAGGAAGCCTGCGTTGTGTCTGCCCCCAGGGAGAGGGCACAGCCTCCCATTAACAACCTCCCCATGAACCTCTTCCTCCGAAGACATCCTCTCCTGGTCTTAAACACCCCGGGATGGAGGCTCCCCCTGGGCTTGGTTGGCCACCCCCAGCCCCAAGCCCACCAGGACGGGCTCCTTCCCCACAGGACATTCCCGTGATCCAGCTGGGCACCTCATCCTCCCACCTCCAGGAGCGACACCGGGCGCCTGTCGCAGCCGCTTCCCCTCGAGACACCCGCGTGGCCACTGCACCCTCTCGTGAAGAAGCAAGGGGACAAGGGGACTGCTCAAGAAAAGCATTTCAGGCAGGTTTCACCTCTGCTCCGAACTACTGGCACCAACCAGCTGCTCTGGAGGCCTAGCTTTAGGAGGCCTAGCTTTAGAATCACAGAATCGTTATGGTTGGAATCACAGAATATTCAAGGTTGGAAGGGACCTCTAGAGATCATCTAGCCCAAGACCAAGGTCTTGGAAAAGACCTTTAAGACCATCGCATTCAACCATAAACCCACCAACACCATTTACCAACTGTAAATCTTTCAACTTTAGACAAGTTTCGTGCAGACAGCTTTGAGACTCTCTTAAATTGGGTGCTGAAAGCTGAAACTCCACCTAACCAGAAGACTTCAGAGTCAACTTCCCCAAATCACTGGTTAGCAATGCAGGACTAGCACAGATGCACTTCTGGTGCTTCTTAGACACCACATGATGGGTTGAGGTGATAGGCTTTGCTCCCATTACCAAAAAGAGGACGGACCAAAAAGAAGAACTGCCTTCAGCTGCATCGTCCGGCAGCTCGTAGCGCTGCGCCATGTCCCGCTCCCACAGCCGGCCTGGGAAGAAGATCCAACACGATGGTGTCCTCAGCATCGCCCAACGCGAAGCCGTCACCGACACCGCCCATCCCCACTGCACGAGCCAAGGGCACGACCGGCTCACGGTGTCGGAGGATCTGAGCTCAACCCACTTGCACTCGTCAGGACACGGCGACCGAGGCTTTCAACGGCTCACGCTGGCTGACAAGTCATTCTCACAAAGCGATCACTCTGGTCCCCGTGCCGCACGCTTCCCTCCTGTCATCACAAGAGGACTCACACGGGCCACGCTGGCACCGGGCTGACCCGCCTGCCAGGTCCGCTGCGCCCACCCGCTGCCCGAGCACCTCCAGGCTAAGCCCCACGCGACTCCACCACTCGCTCCTCACGCCTTTCCTGCAGCAGGATCCTTTCTGGCGCAGTTCTTTGCACTTGCTTTTCTCATCCGCCAGGATCTTCTCGCTGCAAGTGGAAAGAGCAGGTGTGTGCGGGAGTGCATGGACGAGATCCGCCGTTTGGCAGGATAGCACCTCGAGACGTGTTTCTCAACCACCCAAAACAGCCACAGGCCAAGCAACCTGTCGAGAAAAGCCCACACAACTCGCTGATGTCAGCTCCGTCCATTCCACGTGTTCAGCATTTGCGAGTTAAACGCAGCATATGGTCTTTCCCGGGGTTTAATTAGCATCAGTTCTCAGTACGGAACCAGTCGTGCGCGCGAGCAGGAGCTCCGCGCGGGCGAGGAGCCCTCGACGCGCCGGCCCGGCTGCAGCCTCCGTGGCGCGCGGGCTCCTGCTCCCCCTGCCCCTCTCCGCTCTGCCCCAGGGAACGGCAGTCTGCAGCTCTTCCCGGGGGGATCCGACCTCAGAAAGAGGAACAGGGGCCTCACGGTGTCGCCTCCGTACCGAGGGCCCTGCCACTGCTGTCGGTGACCTCCAAGACACAAGACCCCAGCACACAGGAAGGGCGACCAACCCGACCTCCCTCAGAGGGAAGGATCCGGCCTGTTTTGTTACTGTCCAGAAGCTCCAGCCATGGGGATCCCCTGGAAGCTCCAGCCATGGAGACTCCCAAGCGCAGATGCTCTGTACTCAGGAGAGCGGAGGCGTGGAGGGCACAAGGTCCCTGCCACCGCTCCGAGGTGGCCGCGGGGGCACGCGGCAGGCGCTCCCAACAGACCGTGTCTCTCGGTTGGCAGGAGGACCATGGTGGCTTCCATGAGCCATGGACCGGAGCACAGCGCCCTGCACCATGGCGGGATGCACAGAACCCTCCACCCGTGGTCGCATCCCATGGCACAACCCAACGGAACCGGTCCCGCAGGACCTGGCCATGAGTCCGACCCTCCCGCTGCTGCTCCGAGGCGGGAGGAGGAAGGGGCTGGCGGCGCAAAGCTGGCTCCCTGCACAGCCCGACCTTCCCTCATGGTCACGATGAACAGGGGCAGGCCCCGTGCTGAGAACAGCAAACCTTGGACACGTGTGGACTCCACACACACAGCAACTAATAATTAACCCAGTCATTATCCAGGCCGCTGTGGAAGCAGAGTGGACACTGAAAGCCTGGACACAAGAGCAGCCCTGGAAGCAGGTCAGAGGCTGCGCGAAGAGCAGTGCCCCCACGAAGCAGGTTCCAAAGTACGCGCTGCCTGCGCACGCAGTCGGAACGGCTGCACAAGGTGACGCGCCTGGGCAGAGCCACCTTCTGCAGGCCACGATGGTAACGGCTCAGCCCTGGCACTGCCATCAGGAACACATATTTGTGCAGGTCGGGAACACGTGCAAGGCTGGTATCCCATGGTCGGAGAGCCAACGAGACAGCCTGTGCAGGATGCGACCCTAACGAGGATCTCACCACGACACAAAGCCCTTGCAGCAGGGAGGGAGAGGATCTGGCACGTCCCTGGCAAACAGGGCACGAGCACCAACTCCTGCTCGTTTCCCAGCCGTGCTGTGTCGGCACCGAGGGCCCTGCCGCGCCGGCGGACATCGCACATCTTGCAGCGCACGAGCTGGGGAAGAGCCACGCGCCTCCGTGCCCCCCTCGCCTGCCACCTTCCAGCCCCTGCTCCAAGACCGGCGGGCCGAGGCCCCAAGGAAGCTCTGTCTGCTCTGACAGATGGAAGGGCTCTGCTGAGAGACACCCCAGCAGAGCAGGGACACGAAGGGACAGCGAAGCCACTGCCTTCCACACACGTGTGCTCTACTGGGACCTACCTTGCCAGCAGAAACATGTTCAGAATCGGCCTGGTTTCAGCCCCAGCTAATTCCCCAAGCGGGTTAAGCAAACAGGTTAAGATCAGACACTTGCAGACTGCGATCAGAACGCCTCCATCTGCTATATACATACAGAGAGTTAGTCCCTTTGGATACAGCTCTTTCCTTGATAGGAAGCTTGAACTGAGGACACCAGGCTGGGCTGAGCACGGAGCCCCGGGCCCCTGAGCTCCGCTCTGCTCCCTGCCCACACTCCCAGCTCGCGCAGGCAGGTACCGACACGAGGCGCTACATATCATTATCCCTGAACACGCTATGCAAGCCTTGCCTCATTACCATGACAGCCCTCTGCTCCGCTCACACTTGCCGTGCCCGGGCCCTGTGAGGTGCCGTGCGCCGGGGAGCAGCGGCCGGGGCGCTGGCCCCGCACCGGGCGCCTGGAGCTGCCCGCCGCCCAAGGGCAAGCGCGGCGGCACCGCAGCGGCCCCTCCGGAGCCCCGCGCCCGGCCTGCGCAGCCCTGCATTCCTCGGAGCAGTGTCTGCTGACAGCGGGACGCGTCCCTCTCGTGCAGGGCCTGCACTCACTCGGACCAGCGCTGCTTCGGCTCCGTGTTGGCTCTGCTCCTCGGCTCCAAAGCCTCCTGCCCTCCCTCCTTGTATTTGCACAGAGTCATGTCCCCCTTGGCCTCCACTCTGCTCAAGAAGCACAAGCCCCTGAGCCCTTTCTCATGGACAAGTTCTCCCTTCTCCTGACGGCCCCTCCAGCCTTTCCCGGTGCTGAGTCCAGGCTGGACCCTCTGCCAGCGGCACCGTGAGCGGCTCCCTGCCTCGGGACGGGCCGGGTACCTGGGCACGGTGCAGCCCTGCACCAGATACCTGCTGCAACCCAGCAAGCAGCCCAGCAGCCCCCTGCTCTGCGGGCAGCACCGCCGCCTCCTGCACCCCACGGTCCCGAGGGAGCTGGCACCGCGGGCAGGCAGAGCAGGGCGGGTAGCGGCGCAAACGGCATCAGCCTGGAGACCAAAGCACAGGGCGAACAACGGGCGGCGGTGCTGGAGGCGGCCGCCTTGTCCCAGCGCCCTGCAGTTGTCGCGGGCTGCAGCAGAGCGGGAGCTCCCACGCGGCACCGGCGGCAGCACCGGGCTGGGCTGCTCCCCTGGGAACGTGGCTCCCGCCTGGGAGCGGGCGGCAAGCAGGGACAGGCCCCGCGCGAGGGCAGGGCCGGGCCCTCCCGCCCAGGATACACCCGCATTCCCCAGCCGTGAGCGCAGCCTCCCCTCCGCCCGGGAGCCTCCTGCCACTGAGCGCGGCACCGTCCGCGGGCATCGTCCCCGGGAACCAACCCTGGGCACTGTCCCTGGGCACCATCCCTGGGCACCATCCTCAGGAACCATCCCTGGGCACTGTCCCCGGGAACCATCCCCGGGCACCGTCCCCAGGAACCATCCCTGAGCACCGTCCCTGGGCACCATCCCTGAGCACCATCCTCAGGCACCGTCCCTGGGCACCGTCCCCAGACACTGTCCCCAGGTGACGCGCCCCTTCGCTCACTGTCCCTGTGTCCCCTCCTGCGCCCTGCCCACCAGCAGTGCCCCGGAGCAGTGCAGCCTGCTGTGAACACCCTTCCCTGGCGCCCACAGCAGTCGGCGGAGCACCCCTGCTTGGGTCCGTAAGCACACGCAGACCCGCGGCCAGTGGCACCACGAGCCCCAGTGACCCGGGCTATCCGCTACCCAAACGCGGCTCCTCCAGGAAGGCCCTGGGCACGCGGCACCACCGGCAGCAGCAGTACCAGTGCCCACAGGCCCAGGAAGCCGGGTGGTCCCACCTGGTACAGCAGCCGAGCCAGGGACTCCACAGCACCCGTATGCGGCCGCTGCTCACGGCTTCCAGGGCTGGGGAGGCTGCTCTCCTGGGGGAAGGGGCTCTCTCCACAGCGGCGCGTGGGCACCCAGCTTTGGGAATGCCGGTTGACAGACCACATGGGAACGGAGCTCCAGGAGCCACGCACGCCAAGGAGGCCATGAGGAGCCCCATGGCCACGCGCCCGGAGCGCCACAGCGCCCGCCTGTCCCCCCGCAGCTCCCGGCCAGACAATGCGAGCACAGATGGGGCACATGGAGCATCTCCGCAGCTCCCTCGAGTCGTCCCCGCTCCCACGTCGCGCTGCCGCGGAGCCCACGCGCAGGTCCCTTCTGTGCACACTGCCTGGCCTTGTCCGGGCTCTGCTCCCTGCGACACGGGACAACCCTGGCACAGGCGACACGGCACCCCTGCCACCCACCGCGCCACGCCATGGGGCCGTGCACCCCGTCCCAACTCACCCAGGGCACGCAGGGGGCCGCGATCGTCTGCGGGGCCGCGCTCCCGCCGTCGGAAGCGGCTCGTGAGGAGCTTCCAGAGCCCCGCGGGCTGGCTGGGCTCGGCGCGCAGCCCGGCGCCGGGCAGCTCCGGGCACAGCAGCTCCCGCTTGCTGGGGCAGGTGTGCAGGGAGCCGGCGTCGCCCTCGCTCTTGGTGCGGAGGCGCGCGGGGCGCAGCAGGGCGCCCGACTCGGAGCGCCGCAGCTCGTGGCCGCGCCGCAGGCGGAAGCTGAAGCTCTTGCGCAGGGAGCTGAAGCTCCTGCGGGCACCGCCGCCGCCGAAGAGGTTCCATCGCCGGCTGCCCCAGAGCGGCCCGCGGCGCAGGAAGGCGGCGGCGTCGGGGGCGCGTGGCGGCGGGGCGGC